GCTGTGTCATGCCAAACTCAACCAAAGCAGCGCAATAACAGTTACACGAGCCACTAGTAGCCTTTGTCGGCACTTGCTTCTGACCACCGTTGGAAGCAGCTGCTGGAACTTGCTTCGCTCCTTGTGGTGGGGTCACCTGCTGCTGCGCGCACTGGTGCATAAAAACATGAGCAGATACTCGCCTGTGTACGGTTGGTTGCCGGGTGCGCATAGTAGTATGTCCCTCAGGCAGCAGTTTCTCGGGTTCTACCACAACCTCCTTCGCGAGTAGCAAAACGAAGCAAGGTCTCGCTAATGGCTAGCTTTTCACTTGCCAAGAATCCGGGCTTTGTCCTGGATTCCACACGCTTCCAACCAGGAGGAAGCTCTTCACGCACAGCCCTCGTATGACAGGCGACGCCACATTGGCCGTCAACATTGCATGTCGTACCGCCTTGAAGTCATCAAAGTCTTGCCAAGAGCAGTGCCGAGCATCGCTGATGACATCCGTCTGATCTCGCCCATGTGCACGCAAGGCCATCGTTTGGGGATGCCAGGCCGTTGTAGATTAGATCCTGAAAGCTGGTTAAGATCTCACAATTGAATGAGTGGTGCCGTCTCAAGGTCTCAGTTCTGAAGCTCTGCCAAAGAAAGCTGCGATGTTCAAAGCTGCGATGTTCAGGCCCAACGTCAATGACGTCTCGGTGCCGGTAAGAAGGTTCAAGCGATTCAAGAACTCTTGAGGGACCGAAGGTCTAAGCTGTGTCAGGCCGCCGACAGGTGACGGTAGGATTTCAACTCCATAAAGCCGATCCGCGCAAGGCAGCATGGATCACAACATGCTTTGCATGCATGCCATCCCAACGGCGACTGTACACTTAAAGTAAATAAGTACACCCAAAATTCCCAAAACATGACAGGCTCCTTTGGAGCACTCTCGGTAAGATGCTCTACACTAGCTCTGCAACCCATGACATCATGGCATTGCAGACAACATGCATGCAGGTCACAGCTGCATGTCCATCAAAACTTAAGAGTTCAGCCGCTGCCGTTCGGGAGCGACAATCTCTAAACAAACCCCTTGCGGTGGCAGCTGCTTGGCAGCCTATCCTCCTTGGATTCTGGATACTCTGTGTTGCCGCTCAGGTGTGAAGTCCCACCAAACTCATGTCCAGGACTGCCAGTGGGGTGCACGCAGGTCGAACATGCGATTATGAAGACTGTGCAATTCGTACAGTGCCGTCTGAAAACGTTCCTGGGCGCGGTGAGCTTGGAAATGTGAAGCGTGGCCTGCTCTTCTTCCTGGCCGCAACAGCAACGAGCTTGAGAGGGGGCCACGAAAGCTAGGGAGACTCGATGACTAGAATTAATGGCTGCACGCTGCCCCCGTTTGTTCGGTGCTGTGGGGCACCCCTCCTGCCCCCAACCCAGTATTGCAGGAACGAATCGGTTGCCCTGCTACTAGGTGTCTTCGCCATTTCAGAAAGCTGTTAACCAAAACTTTTCGTAGCAGCAGTAGTGGCCGTACTAGTAACACGATAAAGGGGGTCTGCCGAGCCTACGGCAGGCTTAAGGGTGGAATCTCCCCATCCATAGATTCATCAGACCTCAAGATCTCAAAAGTGCTAGATGCGCTAGAATATCTTACTAACCGGTTCTGGTCTTTCTTAAAGACACCTCTCGCGAGCCCCTGAAGAGCTAGCGTTTAGTGACGCACTCGGCCTGGCCTTCTTCGCAAGTGTCTGGTCGTCCATTTATCAAACCTTCCACGGACGAACGGAGACTAGCCGACCATGTCCATTCACACACTACGTGTGTTATTACGCTACAAACAGAATCAGAATGGCCATGCAACAACAAGAAACACCTCAGATACAAGAGCATACCTTACAGTATAATGCGAGGCAGGAGTGCTTCCGGAAGGTGTCTGGGAGCTCATCTTCCTCAGTTGATGCGAGCTCCTGCAACAGCCAGGTTCAAGATTGCTGACGGGAAAACCTGGGATCTCAGAAAGGGCGGAACGAACAAGTTGCAAGCGGTTCACCTCCTCCTCATCGGCCTTGACTGCAGGGGCAGCATTTGTTCACCGGGCAAGCAGCAAAGCAAAGAAGGTGGTCTAACACGGTGTGTTGGCGTGGTTTCAGCTGCCACTCTTGGGCACGGAGACCGGTGACGCAGTCATTAAGCCTGCGGCAGATTGGAGCGACCGCCTCGACGAGCGACGACCGTGTGCGTCGTAGACCTGAGCTCTTGCATCAACAAACACCGAGAAAGTCAAGAACAAGCTCTCCGAAGTGGTATTCTGTTCGATACTGTGTTACCGTCTTCTGCTTAGCTGCTTTCGAGCGGAGCCACTCCCAGAATAAAATCTCAAGGCGATGTGTCCTGAGCCAACCGCCAGACCGGATGCCCGCCTCGACGCGCGAACCTGTGCAGACGAAGCTAGAGTAGAACGCATCTGACCAGGGTCCAAGAAACGGCACCCCCTCATGCCTGAGATCTGTGGTCATCCTCTGCACAAGTGCAATAAGTCGAGACTGGACTCATTTTCGGCAAAGGTCCTCTATGACCCGCGTCCTCAAACCGTACATGCTCTCGTAGGCAACTGCACAAGCCAAGGAGGGTCACGGTCATGTTACATTCAACGCGAAGAATCAGGATGTGCCAAGGCATGTGCAATCCAATATCTGACCAAGCAACCCGCCAGAATGTTGCCACATTGGGCTCTCGTTTCGTGGACTGGCCCACCGTGGCAAGGATTGAAAATTCATCTGTGCTTCCCCTCGTGCCTCTAAGACGGGTCCTTGCAAGACACGAGCGGCACGCTGCCTTTGACTTGCCTCTAGGCAGACTCCGACTGGGAGCCCCATCTTCGGATGGGAGTCCATCTGGTTTGCGGGTGCATGCTTTCAGTCGCGCCGCCAGCACCCTCCTTGTGACACACACACACACACTGCGTTTTTTGTCGCTTCAGCGCTTGCATTGATAAAATCAAAACCAAGCGCTGTTTCGGGGGACCGCCGCAGGGACGTCTTCTTATGCATGCAGCGTTGGCTTCCAACAGCGAACCGAAAATCGGCCCCATCCCTGGCACTGCACATCATCGCACCATACCCACCTTCCCATCGTGTTTCCTCTCGTTTTCCAAAGCTTCGAATCACTCCCGGGATGCCTTCTTTATTCCTTCCCCAACTTTCCTCGCGGTTGCGTGGTAGTGCTCGTGCCATGATTTGGGCACTCCCGGACCGAATTCACCATCGAATTGCGTCTTGCACGTCCTGTTGTTGCCGCGTGGCCTGGCAGTACCTTCCGGATTCCCACGGCTTATGGCTGTGCTTGCTTCCAAAACGGGCCTGAAGGAAGCTGGTATTATGTTGTGGCCAGGCCAAAGAAGGCAGAAGCCAAAATTCAAAATGAGCCAGCCAAGACTGCAATGTCCGGGGCTCGGCGCCTCGTGAGAGGTTCAGGTCAGCCTTCCTGGGCACATGACCGTCAGCCCATGTGCTGCCAGCAATGCTTTTGATTTCTTAACAAAGCCAGGCGACTCCTGCTTGAGAGTGCGACTGATACTGGCTTGGTTCCTGACAGTAGGAATATGCCGTGCAAAAATCGAAAAGCCGATGCATCCTTAAGACTCCTCAACTCACCCACGCGAAGGACGGCATCCATGTAGCTGGCACTTGACCTTGCATGATGTCTATTGGGTCTATTGCGTGGATGTCCTTCGCTCTGCTCCTAGCCTCGACGCTAACTTTTTAGCTCTGAGAACACAGCGTTCCGATGATCTGATGTGCCAGGTCGTCGGCGTCTGTGCCTTGTTTGAAGCCGGGCCGGTCCAAATTCACAAATGCGAGTTCGACTCTACCAGGTCGCCATCTTGCGAGGATGATTGAGGCAAGCAGCTACGGGTCTGTTCCTTCCTCGCGGGCAGCATGCGATAGCTGGCTCAGGTCTGCAATCACGCTCCGCTTCTTTAATTAATCTGTCGAGGTGCAAAGACAGATCGTCCGTAACACGCAGGACCTCGCGGTGACGCACGATGCATGCATTTCCGCAGATCATATCCTTGACAATGATGAATGTACAGGCTGCACCTGTTCGACAAGTTCATGTCAATGTGGCGACGGTCGCCAACAGAAAGCGTGCAGGCTGCACAAGCAGAATCTGATGCCCAACGATGGAGAATCAGCGACTGCCCTTCCTCCTCACTGCTCCTAGAATAATCCAAGATATTCTAAGAACACATCTGTCGAAATACAGAGCTGACCGGTGCGGAAATTGGTCTTCGAGAGATGTTGCGCTGTTGAGACAAATCAGATGAGACAGAGAAAATGGGACAAAGGCGGCGGGTTGCTCCCCGCGCTTGCTGCAGTGGTGGCGAGGTGACGTGCCGGCGAAGGCCCAATGAATTTGAAGATGATGGGATCTGAAGTGGCTCATGTGTCATGACATGACAAAGACCTTGGTTGAGCTGCGGCTCGAGAGCAACAATCGAAGTCGACAGTCGGCATTCCTGAGAGCGACACCGTGCGAACCTGAGCAATCCCATGACTGGAAGATTGCTATCCGACAGCAGCTACATGCAGGAGCAAAAGTGCGGGAAAGCATGGGCCGAAACAGTAGGACTGCCAGGGTTGGTCTCGGCCTTAGCATGAAAGCACCACGAAGCTGGGAGCATGCCGTCTCCAGGCGAAGGTGGCAGTCAGTATCGGTGGTAAGGCAGAAACCAACATTCGATCCACATTCTCTGCGGTTAACGCCTGGCCAACATCTAGCGGTCGACCGAAAGCTCTCAGAAAGCAGCCAAGCTGCACAGTACCTGTTTCTCCAAGTGTGCAGCCAGCTAATCATGTAGCAGACTATAATAAGTCGATGCTTCAAATGCGCGGGCCAATCCTGCACAGCACCGATAGCCGACCTTCGGTGGCTCTAGGTGCTTCAGGGAAGGACACTTCGAAGAAAACTGTCACTGTACCGCAGATGCTGAAAATGTTGCACGGCAAGCCGTGCCCAAAAATCTATCACCACGAAGTGGCCATGCCAATAAGGTGATTTGCCCGAAATGTAGCTTCTACCGCCGGCCCTGCCGAGCGGGGATAGATCCAAACTTGGTGGCTGGCTTGAGCTTCGCCTGGCCACCGGCAAGAGCGTTTTGAGCAACGTCTACTTGGATAGCTGAAATGCCCCCCCACTAATCATTAATCCTTGAATGCCGGCCGTCGAGGAACCCCTTGCGCCTCCTCTTGGCCAGACAAATGCCCGCACACTCCACGGCGCCATGGCTTGAATTTGGAGCAAATAAAAGCCAGCATCCTGGCTCTGCGATGCTTCAAGACATGATACGACATGGAATGAAACTTGCGTGCCCCATCAATCGGTAGCAGGCCTCAAACCAGATCGGATGGCAGCACTCGTGAAGAAGCTGCTCCAAGGAGCAGGAGATTGCCTGCATGTTTTGCCAGGCCGGTCAACCGGCCGCAAATGGTTTGATCCAGCCGTGTTCCCGCAAGACCAAAGCAGCAGCTTCATGCGGAGAACAACCACAGTATGGATGGAGCTCAAAGCGTGAAGGCCATGAGAGTCATCATGATTATTTGTAAAATGTGTAAAACAACTCGCGCATGCCGTGTAAATGCAACACCTGCATACCTGGATAGGCGAAACATGGGGCATAGCTCGTTTTGAAGCCGGCAGAAAAAACACCTGTTAACTTCGCGAAACTCCAACCCGCAGGCACCTGGGCAGCTTGCGAAGTGTTCTTCAGCCTCCCCCACAGCTTGACTTCCAGATCTTCTCCAATGATCTCATTCGGGTAAACAATGTCCTGAAACGATCTTAGACCTATGGAGTGCTATAGAGGCGGTTACTCCATACTCGGACTCCACAGTAGCCCTCAGAAGCAAGGAACGTGCTTGTCGAAGGCTGCAAGAACCATGCCACGAACTTCTTGTATATTCTTTTCTCCTGCCACACATTTTCTTGAACCAAATGTCGAGACTTGGCCTGGACTCGAGCCTGTCTGTGCCGGTGGATGGGAAGGGCCTGGGTGGAGGATGGGCAATGCGGATGATTGGACGTGGAAAAAGCAGGATCTCACCACAACTACACTCTACCGACAAACACAGCAAGTCTCGACTCAAAGGCGAACTCCCGAGGTCGTTTTGCTTTTTTAATGTATTCATCGTGATCTAGCTTTGCGAGATCTGCTCAATTTGGACCCTCCACATTGCGAGGTCAACACCAGCGCATTGCTGACTATCGAACGTTGCTTGATTTGGACCCCCCAAAAACCTAGTTAAAATCTCGAATGCTGAACTTGTTTGTTTCTTCTTGGCGGTGGCGGCCAGTTTCGCGCGGGCATCTGTAATGCGTTTAGGGCTACCACGATTTGGGGTGTCCTCTACAATGAGTGTTTGTTTTTGGAAGGCTGATTTTTGGCTTGTTTGCTTCTGTTCTGCTAGTGGTCAATCTTAAGGCACCCACAATTTGCTGCCGTGAATCGGAAGCTCTCCCCTAAACCCCGCTTAACCGTAAACGAGAAACTCAAAAACCTCTACTGTACTGCTACTGTACTACTGCACAGTACCAGGCCTCAGACTTGGTCGATTGTGGAGCGGAGTGTAAGCTGGAGGTAACGGTCTTCGAAGTGAGAGGCTTTTAGTCTTGGTAGCGATCTTGGAGTGATCGGGGCTTGGTTTTGAGCTTTCGGTGATCCTTAAACCCCTTTAAACAGCTCTAGGTACCCCTAGACCCTGGTACTTCACCACTGCTGAACAACTGTACTACTACTGTACTGCAGCTGTACTGCTACTGTACTACTGCTGTACTACAACTGTACTCTTGTTGTAGTATTACTGATTATTACTGTACTACCAGGCCTCAAACTTGGTCGATTGTGGAGTGTAGCCGGCAGGAGAAAGTCTTCAGAATGAAAGGCTTTTTGTCTTGGCAGTTATCTTGGAGTGATCGGGGCTTGGTTTCCGCTATATTGTTGATCCCCAGACCCGCCGATCCGGGCATTCGCGGGGAACCGCAGACCCTCCACCCAAGGCCCTGGTCACCGGTAGCATATTGATCAAGCCGTCCGGCAATGGTCAAGGGCCAAGGGGCACCACATTATGCCATACAATATGTGACAACAACTTTCCCTGTGACAGATTCTCTTTGCGAGATCGGCTGCTCACTCAGAGGGGAGGGGCATTTCTGAAAGATAACAATTCTCTCCGCTCTCTTTCGTGCTGTTTTTCTAAAGGCTTACTCGGCTTCTCCCGTATTCAGCACTGACAAGGGACCAGATCGCGGTCCCTGTCTGTTTTGCTTGGCGAGGGATGGCAGTCCCAGCTCTCCGGGGAGCTTCCCCCACCCAACAGTTTGTGTGGAGGGGCTTGGCTGTGCAGGCCAGGTTCACGGCGGAACGGGTGCCCAGGTGGAGCTGCATGCTTGTGTGAGCGAGCGGCAAAAACATGCTTGAGCTTACGGCCCCAAACCACTTTGAATTTCGTGGAAAGGATTTGGGCTTGTGCCCCCCCGCACTCGAATTTAGACAGCAGATAGCGGGTAAAGTGCATCAGTTTGGAAACACGCCCCCTTTTTTGGTACTCCTGTTTGGGTTGTGCACGGATCACCAGGTTCCCCGGCGGTTGAAGGTCTGTACACATTAGGAAACGAGAAAACTGTGCAGCCTTACTGTCGCCGCTGGTGTCGTCATTGTCGTGTCTTGATCTTGTACATCCTGATGGCCGTCTTGATGACACGCTAAGCTAAGCCATCTCCGCTTTCGGACTCGCCGGTCCCGTTGGCCGGCTCTGCGAGCCTGGTGTGGCCTCGTACCCATCCCTCCTCCTGCGACCGCGCCATGACAACCCCGGTCCCCATCCTTACGATGTCAGCCCGCAGTCTGCCTCGTTTTGCATTTTCCCTTTCTGGCACCCGCAACAGTCGGGGGCGCACTCGCGCGCGGTGAGGGGGGGGGGGCAACCCTTCTCACCACAGTCCTGGCGAAAGAAAGAGCGAGAGACAGCAATTTTGGCTCAAGTCTCACCCTTATGGGAACCCCTGCTGTCACCCGAGGGGACCTGGTGGCCTCCTCTAACCCCGACCCCTTGCAAACTCTTTGCCTTTGTGGCCATACCAAGCACCTCGACCTCCTCTCAGCAGCACAAGGCGGAGCCTCCATGGAGGAAACAGTGATCCAGGCCAAGGCGATCGCACAATGGAGAGCCATGGAGGAACAGCGCGAGGGCCAAAGGAGCACTCCCCGTATAAACTGCCCTCGGCAAATGCAACCGTCCATGCTGCTGGCAGGGGCGACAGCCCGTTTGGCTTGCGTTGAAGAAGCTTCAGGGCCAGTGAGGGGCAAAGGAGACAGATGGACGTCGGCCCAGCGGCCCGGTGTTGAAAGAAATATGCATTCGGGGAAGGCAGGAGCCTCAGGGGTTCACTTACCTTCCCAGGAGCGACAAGGGTCGCAAATGCTCGTTAGAGAGGTAAGTTCCCCGAAGGGCTGTTCATGGAAATTCAGACAAAACTGGAAAAAGGGGAAAGGCCTTAGCAAGTTAAGGGGATCCCCTCACCGCCGCGGTCACTTTTATTAGGTCGCCTCTCAGCGCCGGTCATGTCATCGCCGGTCAGGGCTCCATTCCCCCGAACGTTTGTTGTCTCGTCTGTAGTTGCGGTAGTCCTCCTTTGCTTCCACACCATGTCATCGGTCTGTTCCGTGGTCAGCCTGCGGATCTCCCCTGTTGCCCCTGTGCTGTTGGAGGCGACGCTTTTGCCTGATCGTAAGCCTGGACGGCCTTCCAGCTGGCTCAGGGGGAGCCAAACTGGCCTCCGACCATGGGGGTTCTCCCCCTGCCCTGCTGTTGTCTTCCACTGCCTTCTCGTCGTCCGTGTTGTCCTCTTCACCTCACTTCACTCACGGGGTCCAGAGTGTTGTCCTCTTTCTTTCGCCAGGGCTAGGGGCAAGAGGGGCAAGCCCCCCTCACCCGCGCGCGTTGTCCTCTTCTTCCACACAGTCAAGAGCACCGCAGGCACCGCACTCCGCGCGCGAGCGCGCACTGGTTGGCCGGTTTCAGTGAGAAGCCTATGTTCGTTGTCCTGTCTCTCTTTCTTTCCACAGGGCTGTGGTGCAGGGGTGTCCTGTCTCTCTCTCTCTCTCTCTGTCTACACCCGTTTCTGCATCCAGGGTAAAGCGATCTTCTAAAACCTCTAAAAGAGCCCAATGTTTTCGACAGTCAGGACGATATCGCAGATTTCACATGCATTGGAAACAGCATGTTAGGACTTCAGCCAATGAAAGCAAGCAAATGAAGTCAGCCGCAAAGAAAAACACTTCCATCACAAAGGACGAATAACAAGTGTGCGGGGGATGCAGTAGAGTCGCTAGTGAACATGATGAGGGTTGGCAAAGCGATCTTAGGGAATTCGGTCGTCACACATCTACAAAACTGTGATGAAGTTGCGGCAAAGCATCTGCGAGGCCAAACTGTCTTCGAACCTTCTGCAGTGTTCTCGTCGAAAACTCCTTCCAGAACTCCCGCGAAAGTCCCGGGATGGTCAGCGTAATCCGCGGCGGCAGGAAATCGTAGTCACTTGCTCGCTTGAGCTTCAATGCTTCGCAAATGCGAGAGCATCGATGTGTGGCAAAAAACTTTCTGATGCCAGCTTCCTTCAGGTCTCCATCCCCAAAGGATGGAAAATTGTTGTGGCGGCTGTGCACCTGGAGGCCGTCGGGGGCCATGCGCTAATTTTGTTACTCAAAGGCAATCGGTGATGCTCCGTCCGAGTGTCTGATCTATATGGTATATCTGCTGCTAATATCTGCTAATGTTATTCATCAATGTTTACTACTCGTGCAAATGCTCTTGCCTGTACTATAATAAGCTTTCCCCGAAGGCGTAATTAGGTTTCGTGAGTTTGGTTGGCCCTTGGGTTTTCGTCGGGTTGCACTCTCCTTTCTTAAGCTAGTGACAGCTAGTGTGCATATAAGCAAGACTATAATTATCGCCTGACGCTCGCGACAGCGCTAGCGAGAGTCGCCGCACATCGAAAATGACGCTGCGTGTGTGGCGGCGTGACGATTTGTCCTCGGATCTGGCGGCCCTCTCCGGATGCCAGCGTCTTCGGCAACGCGATGCTGGACTGCATGTGGTGTGCCGTAACGATGCGTCTTCCGAACTGACAGCGACCCGTGCGTTGGACTCCCACTGTGGTGTTGAACTGACCATCCTCTCGGTGCCGCCGGCGTGTCCGCGTCCTCGGGTAAGCGCCACCCACTGTCAATCGCAAATTCCTACACATTGGCCTCATGCTGGCCTAAGAACGACAACCCTCTCGGTGCTGCCGGCGACTCCAGGCGCTGTGCTTGGTGCCGCATTGAACTACATCGAACTTATCCTTGGAATGCTTCAATCCCGCCAAGACTACTGATCATCTCTCTGAGTCCCGCCAATACATGGGGAAAGCATTTTGATCGCCCGAAAATGCGTTGCACATGGCGACCAGCGTGTGGTGCCATGACGATGCGCGTACCATCCGCGTTGAGCCTCTTGCTTGCTTACTTGTTGGACGCGCGGGGTGCGAGTTGAACCCTCGCGCCCCTGCGCTCTCGCGCTACGCCGTATATGTCCGTGTCTTGAGTCGGCGTGAGACGTGTTTGTGAGTTCGTTGCCAGCTTTGCCCCCTTGCCATCCCTTGCCGGCCCTAGTCCCTGACCCATACCTAACCCAAGCTAAGTCCCTGGGCCTGTTCGCTGGTATCGAGCCCCACTCGTTTGTGTTGTTGCCCTGGGCATTGCCGGGATCTGTTGGTGGCCCTTTGCGTAGCTAGGATATGCCATTGTCGCGTTTAGTCGCTCTCCCTCTCTGCCGCCTCGCGCGTGGTAGTGGTAGTTTCTCCGAGTGGCGCCGGTACGCGGAGTGCAGCGGTTTGGTCGGTCGCGCCCAATCGCACTGCATGTATGGTGCTGTGACGATTCTTGCTGCCTCAGGTTGCACCTCTCATTGGACGCGGCGTGTCCTGGTGCTGAGCGTGTTAGCCTCGAAATGCGTCAAATCCCGCCAGTCCTCGGGAGAGTGTGTTGGTCGTGCCCCTTCATCCCGTCATTCCTCTGGGACTCTGGGGAAGCATTTTGGTCACGTCGGATGGATGAATGGATGAATGAGATGATGTTAGGGGCTGCCTCTCTACAGTATATTAGCGCTTTCCTGGCAGTCGTTCTCGAGCTCGTCTGCTTTATTGCTGTCATTGTCGTTGCCGAGCCTGTGGGTCCGTCAAGTGCAGTACAGTCTTGCTGTTGCTCTGCACTGAAGGAACCCCCTGAATGTCTACCACCAAGAGTTCGCCGTACGATTGGTCGAAGGTGAAGTGGCTGAATGCTTGCGCAAGATCACCTTGGCTTCATTCGTCGTGACACCCCAGGCGGGTTCTAACATGAAGCAGCAACTGCAACCACAAGCGGGCAAGGCACAATGATGCTTGTGGTCCTCTTTGTTGACGGAGCCACCATTGTTGTTGAACTTGACAAAAACACCATCCATATGCATTTCCCCCATAAATACCTGACTCTGTTCTCGTGCACTGGGCAAGTCGTCGAGGCAGTACAAATAATCCTCAGCACATGCTTGGCAAAGCAAGACTGCGTTTGTCCGAACAGAGCCGGGAGGTCTCTGCTGAGGCGAGCGGAATTCAAGAAGCTGGTTGTAGCGGTTCGACTTTCGATCTTGATGATCTCGGTAACACCGTGCAACAAATCGCCAGGACATAACAATATAACAATGTGTCTAACATCTCCGAGAATCTTGCAAGAAGCCGAGACAATAACCTCGCACACGGAATCACTTCATGCACTTCCTGTCGTTTAGCGACAGCCCTCTGCCAAACAGTCAAGCGACCGCAGTGTCTCATCGCCAGCATCCAACAGCTTCACTGGGTAACCGTGTATTGATAAAAAGCCTGTGTGTGTGTGTGTTTGTGCTTGTTTGTCCGCTTCCCCTTACCCATATTCCCGCATGACCAACAAGCTGGGTTGCCGGCCTCGCTGGCGGAAGCGCTTTGCGAAGTATCTAGCTACGGCAGTGTTGCGGCAGAAGGGCTCCATGCTAGCCTGCACAGGCTTTCTTTAGCGTGGAAGTCTGCTGGAGAGATCTAAGCTTTCCAACAGGTTGAGTTGCTTCAAATATTAAGTGCTGTTGCAGCATCTTACCAACCGCTCAGCACAAAATGCACATTTACAGATCGCATCAAACACCCAGCACCGAAAACCATTCACAGAATCAGTAGTGTCTATCTCTCAGGAAAGTAAGTGACACTCTAGGCTCGACTGCGAGAAACCTAGCTGTTCTGCAGCAACGCTGCTGTCTTTGTCAGCCTACGTGACGTAGCAGACATAACATCTGGGCGAAAGGGGATCAGGCACTTTGCTGTGCAAGCTTTCTCAGTCTTGGATCGGGAACGTCGTGTGAGTTTTGAATGTTGTGCGTCGTGCTGGAATGCCCGGCATTGCCTGGCATGTGCCTTGGGAACAAGCTGTGGGACAGATGGGTGCGTCAAACTCAGTTGAATCCATGCAAAGAGCCATGCTCGAGTGGCTGTCGAAGCACGCGTGAAGCGCGAAGGCGGGGTGGAAGGTTCGGAGACATGGCTGGATTCGTGTGACTGCTTGGAAAGACCTCAGCATGATGAGGTTTGGTCTGCCTGGCTCCGGTTTATTTGAGAGAAGGTGGTTGCAGTTAATTAAAGCGAGCATGGATCACGCACCCCCTCCCGTAAGAGCTTAGCAGGGAACCCACGTGCTTCTCCACTGTTCCGCACCTTGCAGCTGGATTTGATCGCCAGCGAACCTGCTGAGCCTCCTGACACATGGACTATCCGAATAACCGGCCATGCCTTTCCATGATTCCTCCGGAATATCTCTAGTGCAGGTCAGATGAGATCAGATGGAGAATGGCACTGCCTGAAAAAGCAGTCCTCGCGCCAGCAGCTGCTTGCACACTAGAAGTCTTCCACCCAGCAGCTGGTCATGCATGTAGCGGACGATTCTCATTGAGCCTTTCGTGAAATACCTTTGCTGTTCCTTCATGTCCTGTACCAAACAGCACAGCTGCTGCTTGCAGCAAGGGCACCTTAACCGCCTTGTCACAGTGGTCGTGACCTCTTCGTCGATTTGAAATCTCTTCCCATCGAAGCGGTAGTGAAGCCGCCGCGCGCAACAAATCGGTTCCCAGCCTGCGCTGCTCTTAGCATCAGATAGTGGTCTCTAAAACTGTTGTACCGGAAGGTGCGAGCACGAAAACTGCACATGCAAATTGCAATCGCCTTCCCAGGTGGCAAGCACGCGGCTGGGTTTAGCAGGTTCGAGTTCCGGGACAAAAGGAGTGTCAGCGTCGCTGGGCCAATGTACGCTTTTCCACGGCAATTCTTTGATCCTGACTGCTGTGATGCAGACAGAAGCAGCACCCTGGCACAACCCGAGATCGCTCAAACGCTGCCAAATTGCTGGCAGCTGCTCCCACTGCAAAGAATAACTTCGCACGTGCGAGCGGTCGCATTCAAGCGCAACATGGACGCCGACGTCCATGATCCATCATCATCTCCTCAATCACAGAGCGTGACGCGTGGGAGACGCTCTCGGAACGCTGACTCATCGAAGCGGCGTACTTCTACTTGTTGCCTTGAGCTTGTCCACTGCTTGGAGCTTGAGCTTGCGTCAGTCGCTGCCTTCGAGAAACTTGGCCTACGTCGGATCTTACGTAGTGCTACGATGGCCGAAGTGGCCGAAAGGGAGGGAGGCCTGAAGGCTTTGTTTCTTCCTCGTGGTCGTCATTGTACTCCTGGGTGTGAATCATCGAAGGGTAGGTAGGTCTGAGTCATCGCAACATTAAGATAGCGTGTTGGACTGTGGGTGGTACAGTATGTCCGAGCCTGACAGCGCGGAAAGCGCCCTTGATGCTGGCAAGCGAAGTCCCAGCCCAAGTGCAAATGCCACCTCCTCTTCGAAGCGTTGCTGGGAATGCAGTGGCCGAGAATCTAACATCTCCGCCACCCCTCAACCCCCAAACACGTGCACAAGCCGAACTTCCGTCCTATGGCTGCCAACTGCTGTAAGTAATAGAGATAATCGACAGCACGGCATTCAAGGGGATGAGCGGCTGTACCAGGACAGGCATGACCAAAAGCTACCGCATTGATCCTTAGCATGGCACAAAGCGAGAGGTCACACAGGGATCACAAATATGCGTGGCGAGGGCATGGAGAAGGTCAAAAACTTCTCCCCAAAAGCCCTAGCAATATCAGCTCCTTGGCCGGCTACAGAAGGACGGATTCGCTTCCATCCCCTGCTCTGCTGAGTGCAGACTATGTGCTGACTTGCTGAAAGCCAGGACCTACCACGCTTCCAGGGTGGGTGAGGAGGGAAAGCGAATCTTCGGACTGCGCAGACGATCGCGGGGCAAGTGGACACAGCTTTCTGTTAAGAGAGCTGCCCACACATGAGGAAAGATCAAACGTGCAGTTCGGCGACTGCACGTGCCTGTTGATTCTGGTCAAACACGATCAGCCTTCAAGTTGAAGGAGGTGGGTGAGCATTTCCCGCGATGCATGCGGCGCCGGCCAAAAACTATGCGTGGGGTCGGTCTGGTCTAGCTCAGACCACGAGCCGGGGCGCACGCTTGCTGCCTGCTAGTTGCACAAGCCAGTCTTACTGCAGTCTGCACGGGTGGCTTGCTACATTATTTGTTGCACCCAGCGCGGCGCCTTTGCAAAGCAGCCAACCAGGAGCCACCGGTGTCGGTGGACAAAAACTCCAAGAAAAGGAGTGGATAAAGCTCACACGGCACCAAGTGACGCATGGCACCTCAGGCAGGAGCATCTCGCGAAGTGACGAACACGAAGTGATATAGCAAAAGGCCCTTTGTCGTCCCACACCACAAGCGCGGAGTCAAGGGTTTTCGGCCCCTCGCCGGCCGAACTGACTGTGCCTTCATGACGGTGGATTTGCCATGCATCCTTGGGCAGCTTGGAGCTGCTGCTGTCACTGCCCGCGCGCAGTTCTTCGTCGAGCGAACTCATCATGGCCGGAGGCAACGCTGACAGGAGGAACGGAACGCAGAAAGCAACACTTCGGCGAAACCGTGCGGAACCATGACTAAGCCTCTAAGCAGAAAGAGGGCAAAGCCTGTTCCAAGCGAAAAGAAGCTGTTGACAGGACAAGTGAGCAAACCTATGTGGTCAGGGCTGTCTCGTTAAGGCGAATGACACAGTATAACCTCGAAGTTTGCAGCATTGCAGAGTTCACGTCCCTCCCGAAAGCCTGTCCGGCATGGTGTTTAATGCAAGGTCATTGAATCCCACACTTGGCCAAGGAGCTGCATCCGTGGACAAGCTTGCATCAAACCGCTGAGTTTGGCCATGAACTCGTCGGCATCCCAGGGCTCTCCATCAGAAATGAACATCCTGCATTTGCAACTGTTCTCTTTACATGCTTCTGAGCGCATGGCACATGTTTAGCAGCAGAGGGTCACATACGTTGGTCTTCCGCTGGTCTCGATGTACTGGTCCGCTTGTCTTACCTTTATTGGTGAACAATCAACCCAAAAAGCTGCTTTCACGTTTTGTCACTAAGACTACCAACAAGACACTTGTGCGAGAGCAAAGTGTGATCATGAGCAAGGTGTGCTGGATTCGAGCGCAAGGACCTGTGCCCAAGACGGGAAACCCACCATGCGCAGTGTCGGGCTCAGGGTCCTAAACAGCCAAGGCATCCCAAATTGTTGGGCTTTCGTGTGCTTGTTTTGCAGTTTTCTCCTGTTTTTGACTACTGGTTGTTGCTATTTTCTTCGGATTAGGCCAAGGCAGTGGCTCACGTTTCTTTAACCCGGCCCGTCATTACGCGAAGGTGCTTGATCACATTTCTACACCTGCTCTGCATTGGGCGATGGCGCTTCATCACATTTCCAAGCCCACGCTCCTTCAGTCGGGGATGACGGTTAACCCGCATCCTCATTAGGCGATGGCGCTTGGTGCCGTTTGATCACATGTCTTGAAACACCATACAACAGCTGAAGGCAGGAAAGCTACAATCAAGAAGCAAGAGCAGAGCAGCCGAAAGCAGACAGCAAAGAAACATTCAAAGATATGAAGCGAACTCAGCTGAAGATAGCCGGCGAAAAACAAGAGTAACGGCACGGAATAAGCTCGAAAGCTGCACAACAGGCGTGGCGTACCAACAATCAACACCTGCAGAATGAGCGGGAGGAGTGGGGAGGAGCGGCCTGACGGCAGTTTGGGCCAAAAGTCTGCCGGGACTCCCAGCTGCACTTGCTTGAAGTGCGGCTTGGGCACACATTCGCGGATCCCGTCAAAGCCAGAAGAATAAGACGTCTGGAAACGTGGCTCCACCCTCACCCGCTCAAGTTTGACAGCAGCTATGTCGGCCGGCTGCAAGGCAAACTGAATCTTGAATCTCATGTTGAACGTCACGAAAGAATAAATGTCGCTGGTCCTAAGTGCACCAGCTTTCCTCCGCTATCATGTTTGAGACAAATAACTCGCCGTCCAAAGAAACTGACTAGTCGCAAACATCACGTTGCCCAGGATCTGTGAACTGAGCTGCTGCCGGCCCATGTCTCGCGCAAACTCAGAAAGTTTCAGCTTGACCTGTGCGCTCTTTGGAAGCCTTTTTGCAAGTGTACTCTCTGCCGAGCCAATACAACACACATTCTGTAAGTTTAACTAAGCTGCGGCATCGATCCGTCTGTGCCAGGTTCCATCTTGAGCACAGCAGTCTTGGGACGACATGCTTCCGGAAGTATCAAGCACAACGATGTAGTGAGCGGAGGCCTGCAAATCTAATGCTCTATGGCTCATGCAGAAGCAACTGCCCGTCGGAAGTGGAATCTTTAAAAACAGTCCTCAGGGTTGAGAAGTATGAAACAAGCCATGTAACAGGAGCGAATGCCTGCAGATCAAGGGGTTCTGTTCTCACAGCGCCACTTCCCTTCACTCTAGCAGGTACCGCCTGGATCACTGTCCATTCAAGCATGGAGCCTACAGAATCGAATGAAAGTAACTCATTCATGCAGAAGCAATCTCCACTGACGTGCCTGGTTTGATTCATGCCTGGTTGTGGACCAAGATCCCACGGAACGAGTGGAAATTGATGGACGCTCGACAGATTGATTCCAACTGGGCAGATCGCCAACAACCTCGCACGGAAGGCCTTCCGGCATCAAGGCACTTCAGAGTCAAGCTCACTATCAGAGGCGTCGTCGGGGTCAGTTGCAGCCTGACCTCCCATGGAAGGCTCTCTGGGCTTCTCGCCCGAGACGCTCTGAGCTCCAACTTCATGTGTCGATTTGTTGCTCTTGTCCGCGTGATCACCTGCCACACTACAGCCGGGAAGCGGAAGTGACTCTGACTTGCTTCATCAATCCGGGCAGCCCTGTATGCCAGAAAAGGCCTGACTCCAATTGATCGTCTTCCACGGGTTAGGCAGAAGGAACACATGCAAAAGGATCGCACCTGCCTGCAGAGGAGCTGCCTGCCAAGGTCAACCCATGCTCCCATGCAGGCCATGCGAGTCCGTTGACCACTTGAGCTTCGCAATGACGTCGCTGGACGGCCTTGGAAGGTAAAGAAACGCACTAATCATGCGACGCACTCACGTGCGACCTGAGACCTGATCAGACAAAAAGAAACTTGACAAGTCCTGCCTCGCTGGTCTGCTCTATGTTCCCATCACCGGAAGCTTGCAAGCGGTCAGTTGCGGCAGTCTTTTCGCGTCCTTGCTGAGTGTCAAGCTTGGGCACGCCTTCATCATCCGACCACTCGCTCTCCAGCTGCCGATGGTTTTCAACCTGCGATGGATGGGTAGATTTTCCAACGTACCCGTTGCCTGAGCCATCATTTGCGGATGTGCATTGCGAAAGACACTTCCTGCGCAAACAAACTCACAAACATGCCAATGTGGGCCAGCAGCTGGCACCCTGTGTTATTCGCCAGACAAGGCTGGCCTCTCCATGCGAGGCCTCCCGGCAAGCAGTACCAGAGGAACGAAAGGTGCACAATTGATGCAAGCAAGGCCTTGTGATGCTGCATTAAAGTATCCGCTTTCGATGGGTTAACTCGGCAAAGCTGGCGCAGCAACTCGCCCGTTGCGTGAGAATACTCGAAGGAAGATACAAACTCTTGGATCCTCAGAAGGGGCTTCTACACCAGGACTGTCTCGCACAGAGAACAGTGTCAACAGGTGCATTTAATTGCAAATGCAAAGCGGCTTGGCTTCAACCAAACTACGACGAATCTGCTTCGCAATTTGTTGGGCGACTGCTGCCGGGTCGTCGATCAAGCCGCGGGGAACCGAATAGACGAACTGGTGGTCATTCATGACCGCATATGCTTCTTGAGGCGAAAGTGACCGTAATGTGGATCCAAGCTCCCCCAGGGTCTCTGATGAGAAATGCCCTTGCATCCCAATTTCCTCAGATCTGACTGCACATGTTCAAGACACAACTTAACATTCCAATTTTGCGGTCAAACCCTTCCACAACTTGGCAGGCGAGATGCTCGCATAAAATCTTCTATCTGCACAAGCAGGTTGTAATCCATCTCGCCAGCACTCGCCTTGGCAGTGCACCTTGAGGACACAATTTTACTCCACTCCGCCGGCTGCAAAGAGATTCCTCTTTTCTCGGCTTCCAGTGCGCGGACAACATCCGCAGCTTCGCAGGGAGCCAATTGCTCTAAGTCTCTCTTGGCCGTGCGCGTAAGCTCACGGCGGCAAGCAAAGTCCTGCACCGTGTTTGCCGCCCACTCATAAGTGTTGCCGAAACCGTACGTCGAACTCCATCCTGCTGAGTCCCCATGCCCCTGTGGAGTCTGGAATGTGTCAGCAGGCGGCCAGTTGGTGGATGCATTGCCCAGAGTTTTCTCGTGCGGCTGCTTCGTGTCGCTGCGTCGATTCACACAGTCATGGAAAGGCTCGGCTCGCTGGAGCAGCTGCACTATGCAATGCTGCAAACGGAAAGGAATACCCAGTTTGGCCGGATCTTGGTAATAAGCTAGTTCAAATAACCTTGGAAGATGCTTTAAACACGAAGTCAAATAAATCTTACATGAGCCTGTCGACAGACCTCTAGAGTGATTCATACCTGCGGCTGCCGAACCAGCGGGAACAAGTTTGGGCAGACACACGGGAACCGAAAATAACGGGCTGCCAGCGACTCGAACTAGCGGCGTGGAGACGGTAGAGAAGCCGTTCGTGCTGAGGCTATGGTGGTAGGCCTTCCTCAGAACAACGTAAAGATGTGCAGGAATGCACAACAAGACATGGTGCGACAAGACATTGTAGTTGCTCCCACTGCCGGCAAGCTACATGTCGCTTTCTGTGGCGCCCATTGACGCCTTCGCAAGTTGCAGGAACCTTGGCCACTACAGCCATTCACGCGGCAGGGCATGACTCGGGATGGCTCTGCGAAGGTGCCGATCATATCTCAGAATCAGCGACAGCGACACCGCATCAAGCAACAATTGTCGAGCTTCTGAAGTTGAAGCCGACTGATGCTCGCATCCCATGTACCCCGTCCATGCATTCTGACATGAAGTAGGGGTACAGTAGTATCCCACAGCAAAACCCACAGATACGCTCACCACGATTTTTCAGGAGCCTTAGAAGTGCCCACCTGAACCCCTAATTAAACCTCAGCCGATTCTACAGCACCCATCCTCGAGAAGGCTCCAAACAGGTTCAGTACAGTGCAACAAAAAATGCGGGTGCCTGAGTTTCAAAGATGTCGACAGTGTGTGGAAGGGTTTCAAAATCTGAATACTTGGGGCAGAACTGCTTGAACGCTTTTTTGAGATGTCCGCCACATTCTCCACACCTCGCCGGTATGTTCCAAATTCATGCAGTCGCTGGAATTTTTCAGAGCGTCGCAGTCTGTTGTCGGGACCTGCTTGAACCCTTGTGAGACCACGCTCACAAAGCCTAGAATACTTTCTGTCGTTTTGCGGAATGGTTTTAAAGCTGCCTGTGTGAGGCCTTCCTCTGATCTCTTGAAGACATCTTCGTGGAATCTGGTGAATAATCGAAGGTTGTTGTTTTGTGGTTCGTTCGGGCCGTGCTACAGGCTGACTGGTTCCAGCTGGTGGTGGTGGTGGTGGTGGTGGTGGTGGTGGTGCTGGGGGTGGCGCGGGTGGTGGTGGTGGTGGTGGCGGTGCGGAGCGGCCAACGGATTGGATGTGGAGATGAACCGGACAGGGCACAAAGGCGAGCCGAAACACGTCACCAACGGCACAGTTGAGTGGCAAGTTTCCGGGGTGACAATGTACCACTACGAGACATGCGAAAGAGAAAGTGCACACAGAAAAGACGTGCACTTTCTTTAAGCAGAAGCCACTCGCCAAGACACGAAATGGTATGCGTGCAGATTGCAGAACATAGAGCCCGTTGGCTGCGTGCGGCATGTACCAGATGGCAGAAAGTATTATTGACCACCAATAAAGGTTTGCAGAGTTCAGCATCGTTGCCAGCGCTGTGCGGTCTTGGGGCTGCTTTCAGCTTCAGCATCGTTTGCGGCGCTTTGCGTGTGCTTAACGCATTTACACGGTTTCTCGCTGCCGTTTTCTTGGTCTTGAAATTGGGCCCCAGTGCTAAGAAGTTGAATTGGCCTCGTCCCCAGGTACGATTTGTTGGCGTTGTCTTGGCTTCGAAGTGGTGCCCCGGTGCTAAACAGTGCGATTTGTTGGCATTGTCTTGGCCTCGACGTGGTGCCCGAGTGCTAAGAAGAGTGATTTGTTGCCGCTCTTGGCTTGGAAGTGGTGCCCCATCTAAGAAGTACGTTTTGTGGCCATTGTCTTGGCTTCGAAGTGGTGCCCCGCTGCTAGGAAGTGCGCTTTGTGGTCGTTGTCTTGGCTTCGAAGTGGTGCCCCAATGCTACGGTGACTGTTTTTGAATATGCGGGCAAGTAAATACATAAAACAATTCTTTTATACTACCTCTGTGAGGGGTCGGCCAGGCCGCCCGTTTTTTACACATACGGAAACGTTAGCGCTTTAAGGGGTCGAAGAAGTCGTCCACACACTCACACACATCTTGGACGCCTTATTCCACGACCACGACAACAACATCACACAGGAGAAGGACGTACCAGGGATTTGCAACGGGATCAGGAGACATTAATGAACTTGTGGAATATAGTGGAGGCAGGGAAAACGCCCTAACTGCCGCAGTGAGCTTTTAAGCTGTTCCAAGGCAGTGATACAACAGAAGAAATGAACTGACGCCAGTAGGACACGGAGCATCTAGCCTAGTGGAAGTGCTTCTGCTCTTGAGTGGAAAGTCTGCAGACTCGAATCCCGCACCATGCATTTATTTTCACCGGAAGAGGCTGGGCTGGCTGGGTTGGGACGGGAAAAAAGCCTAACTGTGGCAGTTAGGGCTGGTTTGGGCAGGGAGAAAAGCAAGACTGCAGCAGCTGGGAAAAAGCCTAACTGCAGCAGTTAGGGCTGTTTTGGGCTGGCGGGCTGGGCTGGGCTGGGGTGGGGCTGGACTGGGCTGGGGAACGGAAAAAAGCCTAACTGCGGCAGTGAGGGCTGTTTTGGGCTGGGAAGGGAAAGAACCTAACTGCGAGGATTTGAAACCCCTTTGCCATTAGGCCACGTGGTCAATGATCAAGAATTCCCCCTCATATAAGAAGTACATTGGAATACTATTGACCTTTAAAACACCTAACTGCGGCAGTTCTGGTGTTTTTCTAAACCCCAAAACAGAAACTCAGCTTCTCTTCGTGCGTGTGTCAGTGTGCAGCACGTGTGTATAAGGTACTTACATACATTTAAACATGCGGAGATTTAAACAGGTCTTTTATACTACCTCCGTGGCTCGTGGCCCGAGCCCGCTCTCCAAATGTTTAACAGTGGTCACCGTGCGAAGTACCGCGTGATATTTGGGGCAGGGACGAAAAAGGGCCGTGTTCCTTCGCTTCCAGAGCCGCTTACGCTCCCCAGGCCTCCTCGTGCACTCGCTCGATTCACTTACGAGCGCTTTCCATCGGTGACCAACTGGTTTGCAGAGCAAGCGCATCGGACCCCCTGGAAAAGCATGAAGCGGGCAAATCAACTGGGCACAGCACTGCTCGATTGTTGGAAGCTGCAACCGCTTGATTGCTTGCTGAGATATAGGATGCCCGCACTGGAGATCACTGAATCTGCTTCCACCTGCCAAACATTGGCTGGCAGTCGCACCACAACCCTCCCAACCAAGTGCATGTCAATTGCCCTGGACAGAATGACACAAGAATCATCAAGAATCAGAAGCATTTTCGCGGCCTCGAATGTTGACAATTTTCCCACCGGTAGTGGTGCTGAGCGCATCCTGCATTCAAGACTTCGGACGACACATCTTTGCGATTTAGCTCAAGTAGACTAAAGTAGCAGCTCGCAGTGTTCATGTACTAACATCCCCGACAGCGTTTCAGAACCAGAAACGTGACTCGGCATCCTCCAATCTGGAAATGATCTTCGTGCTGGTAGAGTGGATGTGACAAGGGCAAACGCTGCAGCATCCAAGTGCATGAGCCACGCGAAAAACATAAAGGCGTCGATTGCTCAAGGACCACAGAAAGCCATCATGCCACACAACTTGGAGCGGGCTGCTTTCAAAATGCTCGGCTGACAAAGCACCAGTCGCAAATTTGTCGATGGTGTTGTCCAGGCTGAAGCCATTTTGAAAAGTCTTAGGCCCGATTTAATGCAACAACAAATGTCCTGGCAAGCCACACCCGTAATTCCAGTTTGCAAACATAAACGGGAAGGAACAAGTGCCAAGAACCGCCACGAATCATTGCTGATCTCCCCATGAGTAAATCGCAAAGCTAAAGGGCTGAGCCAACCCAACTGCCGCCAGCCACCATTGCACTCATCATCCATGCGCGCTCAGGAATTCAGCGACATGAGCCGAAACTCTAATGGCACGGGAAACCCATGGCAATCGATGAGCTTATCGAGGCGACGAACCTGCCTTCGATGCTATGTCATCTGTTGTACCTGCAATCCGAGACAGCCCAGCAAATAAGAATAACCTTGCAATGACATGCTGAGAAGATTGGGTCCGGACGACATGCTCTATACTTCAGGTATAGACCTGCCACTGCTGTCCGAAGAAGCAAACTCAACGAAGGCGTTTACTCTACCCCTCACAGCTCCAAACCAGATGCCGGACCTCCAGTCGCAGTGTGGTCGGTCAGTTTTTTGCCCGTCTGGAAACCACGCAGAGTCTCCCATGCTCATGCAAACGACGGTTGCAGCTGTCGTAACCCCATCTCCTTGTGCAAAGGGCCCAAGGCGACCTGCAATCACTGCAGTCGCATGAACCATTGTGCTTCAAGCCATGCTATGCGTTGGACAGGGACGCCTGCAGAGCATTTCGCTGAAGTTGTTCTTCGGCATTGACACCTCATGGTCAATGTGCCGAACAAACCGTCCAATTCCACTCTAGTGCCCTTTGCACAAGCCGTCGACGATTTTCTTTGCCGGCGTCATCTTCTTTCAATATCTCTTGCAAGAAGTCCTGGGGAGCAACAGCATGTCGATCGAAATGACGAAGCTCCGTTCGATGGAATGACCTCAACTTCAGCCGTCAACCTCGGCTTAACAGATGCCCGAGCACACGAACGAAGATCATCACCAAAGGCTTGATTGCATCTTCGTGCCACCAAGGCGCCCAGTGTTTGGCCTCAACAACCGTCGGTCCATGTCGTATGCAACCACAAAATCACGTGGTGCGTGACACATCATGCAGGAACACGCCTGGACTGTGATTGTGGCCTGCGCCCTGCTGCTCGAAAGCCTGGCGCCAGAAGGTTAACTTTGATGCTTCCGGCATGGCACACCAAACTCTGCCAGGCACACTCCTAGGCTTCTGCCACCAAGCCATAGCTTAGCAGGGAACACATGCCTTCGGCGTGCGAGCCACAAAGCAGCTGCAAACAACACAAAAGCCGAAGACAAGACTAACATTGTGCAACATAGGAATGACACCTTTCGGTGCAACCGCTGTTCCGCAAACATGAATGATAGAGACCCCTGCCTGCGTCCTGCCTTGTCAGCTCTGTCTGAAACTTGTGATTGCATGTCTACTCCGTATAAAGCTGTGACGAAGACATGGGCGCGTTTTCCTTCCTAATGCTTCTTTGGCATCGCTCTAAGACTCTAAGGATCATTGGCTGGTCTACGTAGGCTTGGTGGGGCAAGCCAGTGTGGAACATGGTTTGGAACGCTTTGTTCCAACCAAATTGTGTCCAAAAGCCGGTCGCTGTCCGATTGCGAATGCCAGGATATCTGTCTCCGTCACAAATCTTTTGGTCCCACTGCTCTTGAAAGAATGCGTGACCGGCTTTTGCTCTGGAGCCAACTTCAATGCTCCAAATGCCTTGAAACAAGATTCAACCATTGGGCCTACAAGGTCAACGACAAAGCTTGTCAGCGATTTGACTTGAAAACGCTAGCACAAACTCGCCACATTGTCGACACGGCTGGTTAGATGTTGCAGCTCTGACAGTCCTCGCCGCAACATGCTAAGTTGAGTCACTTCAGAACATGCTTCAGAACGTTCTCCCCGCGACATCAAAGTGCCAGCACAACCTGCAGCCGACACAATGGCAACCTTCCAAATAGTCTTTGAAGAGCTTTCAAGTTTCAAGGCTGATGGTCGCATGCCACGTAGCTGATCATTGGAGCTGGTATACATAAGGATCGAAACGATGATGCACCAAACAATGTTTGACAGTGCAAGTTGACACTTTGACAATCCCCGAAACTGCACCGATGCTGCCGTTCGTCAAGGCTCCCTCTACAGGCAAACCACCATGCTTCGTCCCATGATATCCCTGTAGCGATTTTGGTGGTTTACATGGTACGGGCTGAGATGGCAGGCCATGCAAAGAACGTGACCCTGTTCTGCGCAGGCAGTCTCTTCGATTCTTCTCTTCTGGGGTCAGGCAGGTGTGTTCGACAACTCCCCCAAAAAGGAAGACCCATCAAGACAGAACAGCAATGCATGAACCCTTTTCCTGCAGCTTCTTCTTCCCTCCTCCCTGGTTCTTTTCCGGAAGCACGTCTAGCAACTTGAGAGCGGAGCGGACACAAGCTCGGGGACCGAAGGGCAGTAGTGTGCTGCGAATGCGAGCTGATGCTGGCAAGAGAAAGTGAATGATGCAGTGACCTTGTCTGCTATGTTGGGACATTTTAGGCAAGCGACTTTCCGATCAAACTTAATGCAGAAATTGAATTCGCATGCCTTGTCCTTCAACTCAAGTCTGCACTGGTCGACGCATGGCAAACCTTGTTCCAACTCAGAAGGTTCGTGTGCCCCCCCCCCCCCACAAACTTGTCGAGGCGTCTGCTTGCCAACAATTTTTGCCAGGCGGGAAGAGAAGCCTCTGGTGAGCGCGAGCGGAGCCATGCTTGCTGTCTTCAGTTCCGGATGCACGCGCCGGCCAGGTTGCCGAGTCTTAGCCCTCAAGGCCTCAAGGCCAGGGCCGCCGCTTGGAGAGGGAATAAGTTCGGGTTTTGGGCCACTCGGACTGACATCTGCTCTGTGGATGCCCGCCAGCAACCTGACTTGTGGCTCTATAGTGCCCGACGCTCCGTGACGATTGCCAGGCGAGTTGTTTCTCAGCCTTTGCCCAGGTCCTCGGGCAACATTTTCCCATGTTGCAGCAAAATGTTGGTCAAGAGTTTGGCTGCAGTTTTTGCTTGCCTAGGTCCTTGCTTCACTTGTATTTCAGAAGCAGCAGCAGCAGCAGCAGCCTCTTTAGCTCAGTTGGTTCCGTGAGCGCAGGGTTACGGGTTCGATCCTTGTAGGGCCGACCCGCAGTTGAAGAATGGCGCAAGAAAAGCTGTCAACCATGATCTGGTCTGCGAGTTCTGCCACCACACTGGCGATTGAAAGCTTTTTTGGATCAGGTTCAATGCAACCTGAACATTAGCTTGTGGCAATGCTTCAAACATTCGCATGCATCCTTTTCGACACATGCACTGAACGGTTGTGGATAACGAGGTTAATAGAGTACTTGGTGCACTTACAGCTCAAGTCTGGCCACTGCAGGGCTGTGGTGACCGTACTGTCATGCCATACTTGCTGCAAGTGGTGCACTCTTCAACACCAAGCCCTGTCCGAATCTATGACCATGTCGAACTTCCGGAAGGAGAGAGAGGGAGAGCGAGAGACAAGAACCACACCGGAAGGGGCCGAACTGTACTGCAGACGGGGTAGGCCTCCGGGCCAGGGGGTTAGCGCGCGCATACTCCGCGCAAGCAAGCAAGCAAGCAAGCACACCAGCGAGAGACAAGACCTCGTGGTCAGCGAAGATCCGACGTGTCGGCGCATCGTGCGCGGTGCTGGGGTGGGCCAGCGCAGGGCGGGGCACTGAGTGTCGCCCGAGTGTTAAACGATGAGGATGCAGGAGGAGAAGAGAGACCGCAGAATGCTTTGCCACTGCCTGCCGCCTGTAACCTTTGAAACAAGATCCTTGAAGTCTGATTCGCACGCAGCTCGATGCGTTTGTTCATCAGGAAAGCTAGCTCTATTGGAGCTTGCGCGAGTTGTTGTTTACAGATTTAGCTATTGATCCAAAGAGAACTCCAGCAATGATGACATGCGATAATACGAAAGGTTTCTCCAAGCAACAGAAGATGGTCTGCCGAGGCAGCAGATCCACATCGGCTTCATGATGCAGCATGTTTACTATAGCTGCCACATTGTTTCCAGTTCTCCCTTCGGCGTGAAGCCTGCCTCGGTGAGTCGATGCCTCCGGAGCCTCCGACCTCGGAAATGCAAAGGAAGGAGAAGCCGCGGCCACACGGTCGCTTTGCCATTGCCTCGCCTCGCTGGTGCCAAGCAGGATGCGGTTCCCAGGTTCCAGCACCTGCATTTCGTCACGCTGCAGGCTCCTCCGGCAAAGCGAAGCTGGCTGCTTGAATCCACTGAAGTTGAACTCGTTGAACTACCACCGACATGGAAACAATCGCATGCATACTTAGTTCGGAAGAGGCGGTATACATCGAAGGCCACAGCCCCTAACCTGACTGGGACAATTCTCAGAACGTCGTCCCGCAGAGATAGCCAAGCTGGACTTCGCACAGCTGCACTAACAGGCCTGCATATACACGGTTTTGCTCCGTGCAGTCCTTGTCCCCGAGGCCTCCCCTCTGTCCAGCCAGATCCGATTTTGAGATAAGGCCAATAAGAAGAAGCACTGGTCTTCGAAAGCAATCGCGAAGTGGTTACCTCACTGGAAAGCCGAGGTGGTCCATTCAATGATGAGAATGCTAGCCAAGCCCCGTTCGACTCACAAAGTCGATGTACTCTTCCTTCACGACCGCTTGCCTTGGAATCGTGCAGGTCAGGTACAGGAATCGCATTGTTTTCCCATTTCTACTGCATACTTCGGTAAATGCTCCTTTCATTCCAAGCCGGATTCCAAGCCAACACGTGTGCAACGCATCGATTCCACGGGCATGTCCGGACACAACAAGGATCCACTCCCCCAGCCTCTCACAAAGCAGTTGTTGATTTGTCAGAAACGTCTCTTGCCGAGAAACAAGAACTCCCGCTGATGCCGCCGGCCCATAATCCAGGGTCCTTTCCTGTAGACGAGCTGGCGCACATTAATCGCACTCTACAAGAAAGTCCAGAATTCGTGAAGTTGTGAAAAGACTTGGAACACCTGAAATTGACACACCACCACTCCTATTGGCATCTACTCAACATCAAAACTGTTGTAATGCATCTGTTTGGGCAGGATGAGCTGGACCTAAGGTCTTGGATCGCTCAGAAACCGTACTATCACGTCGTTACATCACTGAGGCATCCTTCCCGCCTCAGAGTCATTGGACCTAGCCGTCGTTTCTCCGCTGGCAAGTCCTATCGCGACATTCACAGCCCGACTTTGTCCAAAAGAGCTCCCGGCTGCCATGATGCGCATGTCAATGGCAGGTCCAAAGCAATGCAAAGCCAATTGAAGTAAAAGTCCTTCGTGCCCACGCCAGTGAGCACCAGAACCACAGCAGGAGAGAAGCTTTCCGAGTCCTTTCACAGCTCACCTACTGTATGCATTAACAGGCAAATGCCAAGTCAGAACGTGACGAGCCATGGACGGTATAGTCATTAGGCTAGCGGAACCCCACAGCACCGCAATCCAGCCAGTGAGTAGCTAGACTAAACAAGGCATACAGCACGTACAGTGCATGTCAGCCCCGATGGTCCTCGGTTGACGCTGGGCCATTAGGCGTCACCTTGCTGGCTTGGCTGCCGGGTAGCGGCGGTCCTGCAGGGAGGGCTTCATGTGAATTGTTCTACCACAAGGCGCCACTACCTTAACGCTTCTGGTCTCCACATGCCCTGCCATGCCCTGGCTTCTTCGATCAACATGCAAACGCAAAGCTCAGATCACACTGGACTGGGCCATTCGAGGATCGCTGCAGCTTCCATCAGGGTACTAGGTCGTGAAACGGCTGGCCTTGCCTCGGCTTTGTGGAGCAGACCTGGCAAATAACTCATCTCCGAGTGTCTCACATTCCGAAACTGTCTGAACTCATGAGAAAATCTACCAGAGACGAGCATGAACAAACTCCCCGAAGACCTCTACACGATCGTAAGTCCGCCCAGCCAAGTCACTCAGCAGGTTGCGGTGAGCATGGTGAGCCACCTAGGTGCTGAATTCGCAACTCCCACTCCGTGCGCAATGCTATTCACTGCTATTCATGTGTTGATGAAGTGCGTGAAGGGTAGGCATCTCTGTACACAAATCCCCGGACCCACTGCAGGCCACCCTGCAGATACCATGCTGCTCACTTTGCGTAGCAGTACACTGCCCCGCAATGGTCGGTGTGCAAGTTTTCAAGATAAGATACGGACAACGATGGTACAGCACGTAAGCAGCGCGCCGTGTCTTTGCAGGCCTCGCTTTAGTTGCCTCAGTGGCAAGCTCTGACCTTTTCATTTTCGGAGCCTGCATACCTTTGCTACAACGGGCAAGGCTCGCACAGCAAGCTTTTGACAATGAAAAACTGCCGAAGTTGGTCGACTGGGTGAAACATGAACTCTGAACTACGAAGATTGGCGACGCCTCGCTCAAAGCAGCAGATCGTCGTCGGCAGATGTGGCAAGTGGCCGACTTGCAACGCTTGTGCCACCCAGGAGGTCCTGTCAATTGTCGAAGCAACAATGGCAAGTTACGAGAACAAGGCTCCCACTCGTGTTTCACATATCGCTGTCAGTGATGGCAGCTGTGTGGCTTGTGGCGGGAGTAATGAATGCTCCAAACTAGGCATGCGCCCACTTCAACCTGACTGAAGCCGGACTGTGGCAGTCTGCTACGTTATGGCCAACCTACGGCTTGAAGAGTTCAACTCTAGCAGATTTTGGACATCGGTCCGCCAGTCCTCCTCGTCGGACTCTAATTCTGGCGTGACCGGCTTCTCTGGCATGGCACTCGTCGCTTGTAGCAAATCCTGTGGAAACGACGTGAGGCCAGGTGTAGTCGCAAGACAAAATGCCATGGTTGCAAATATATTTGCCGCAACAATATTTTGCGCTGTGCAGCTCCCGCCGCCTGTGGCTCAGCGGGGCTGGCAGGAAGTCGCTGTCCGGCACCGGGCGCATCCTGCCGGTGCCACATTCCAAAACGAATCAGAAGTGAGTAATGCCCTCGTCCAGTCAGAAAGATCCTGGTCAAACGTTGGAATCGCCGTGTTGGGGCCTAACACATCCTGGCACAACACTTGACCGACTGTGGTGTGTACTGAAATTGCTTGAAACATAAGAGTGCCTCCAAGTTGTCCACAGGCAGAGAACACACATCAGGGCCACCGAGCAAATCCTCGAAGCACAACAACATTCAGCAACCCGGCACTACCACACTGTAGTTGAGTCTCCTCTGCATCCAGCTGGATGGCGTGTACCCTTTGCTCTGCCTCATCAAGTTATCAAACATTGTGCTTCGTTGTTGGTCAATGAAACAAAGCACCAGTATGCTGCCTCAGGCATGGTCAAACCTTTGCTGCAAGAAGCTTCCCCAAGACTTCGGACTTCATCAGCCAGGGTTTTCTCTGCCTCCAACCCACAGGCGGCAGTATCTTCTGAGAGTGGTTCTAGCTTTGCTGCACCGTCGGCCTCCTTGGATGGCAGATTCTGATCCGCTTTCTGTGCTGCTTCCTCGGCCTCTCTGGCCAA